CGGATGATTAAATATGAATTGTCAATACACCATTCGATTGGTTATACTTCAGGCTACAAAATGAGCCCTCATATGTTTTTTTAGCTTCATCCCCATTATTGTTAGACTGCTATTTTTCAGACATATTGAAAAACGCGATCTTCGTACATTTTTCCCTGTAGAAAATCTCTCGACCATGGGGCGATGTCGTAATTTCTCATTATATATGTGGATGATGATGACAAAAAATGTCCTTGATGTTCAATTAAGTTATAACCCGTGATTGGGTTATTGAACGATAGACCGCACCCTCTGCCGTACTAAAACATGTTCCATTTTTATGTTGAATACGGAAGCAAATTCGCTCCAGAAACGTCAATGTGAAAATGTACCTAATATTTTTATGGTATTCTTCCTCAAACATTCTTCAAAACAAGGTGTCACTCGTTTTTTCAACAGAATTGAACAAGGATTTCGAGAAATTGGATGAAACCAAAATTGTAGTACTTTTGATCCCGATGCGAAAAGTTGGTAGCTCGACCAGAGTAGGCCGGCTATATAGATTTCGAAAATAAAAAAAAAATTACATTCAGTATTGAGTGATATAATAAATAAGGAGAGTGCCGTAGGCGATTTTTTACCTTATACAAGGTCAATGGGAATTGCATTTTCTCCTACCCTTCGAATAAGTGATTATTTTCACCAAAATCATGAGTCAAAAAATTTAAATGGAAAACATATTCATTGATTTTAGAAACTGAACAGGTACAAATCTGGTACACCTATACCTTCATTCATACACGTATTGAAAGAACCAGAGAATATCGAATGACATCGGTCTACGAATGATGAAACAAATTTATTTCCTTCTTGATCTTCTTTCAGTTTGTTCGTATTCCTTATTATCCTAATATCAGTCCCGTGGTATATATACTATTTTTTCTACCACTAGCTATAAAACCTACTATTATTTCATAGATGAAAACCCAAAGTCATCTCCAAAACTTTTATTTAATGATCATAGATCATATAAGGGAACATGTTTCGGGCTTATATAAGCCCATCATCAGCCAAGAAAATGTAAAGTTCTAAAAAAGGGCAGATTTGACCTATGGTATGATACAATGATATTTTACTTACATGGAAGTGAAAAATGTTGCAATGTGTATACAATAAGCAATAACGGAGCAAGCAAAAGCCATTGCTCCATGATCTGGAAAAGGAACAGTGAAAATTTTTGAAAAAATATCAATATGAGCGAAACTTACTGTTTATATGATAAAAATGTTTTTTAAAAATTTTTAATAAAGTTGAAGGTTGGGGGTCGGGAACATATTCAATAAGGGCCCACGGTACCCTTAAATCACCGATAAGTGGTAATTAAACTTGAAAATATCAATCTTTTATAATAAGAAAGATGTGGCTCCGGAAATAACCAAGAAAAGAATCACATGTGCGGAAGCACTGAACAGTAAAATTTTTTGCTGTCAACTGTCAAGTCAACCAGAGATCATGGAACAACTAGTTACATAGATAGACAGAATAGGTGATGGGGGGCAACACCATAGCACAGCACTACGTCAGATTGGCAACAAAACTGAAAACAAGATTGGTACAATCAGAAATCTTACAATCCAAAAATCTAGAAAAAAGTGTACATGGCAAATGACAATTATTTAGCAAAATTCAATGAATTGAAAAATTTGTTGCAATCATATTGAGTTTGTTCATTCAAAGAAGTTACATTATTATTATTTGATGACAAATTTATCTCATAAGTTTCCAAAAGATTTAATAAACGGCCTTTTTGGCATATGTGTAGGATTTCTAAACTATTGTCAACGTTAAAACTGTGTTTGTAGTTGAGAACGTGGTCAGAAAAGGAACTACCAGTTTCAAATACACCCAGAGGGGGAGGAAAAGTGGCTTTTTCTATGTATTTAATATGCTCATTTACTCTGGTTTGAATCCGTCTACCACTCTGGCCTATGTACTGGGAATTGCAATTGGGATGTGAACAAGATAATTTATATACACCTGGTTTATGGAGAGGGGGAATTTTATCCTTATTATTGACAAACATACGTGATATCGAGTTTGTGGTGTAGGAAGACATGTTCTAAGAAAAATATTGCTGATATCTTGAGAAAGTTTACCTAAGTATGGAATTGAAGCAAACCATCTCCTTTGATTAGTAGTTGGAAGTAAACTACGGTTAGCAAACTTGTTTAAATGGCGATTGTAAATTTTATCAATTAAATGAAAGGGAAACCCATTGTTATGTGTTATTTGTTTAATAATGTTCAATTCAGCAATGAAATTTTCAGGAGAGAGTGGAATGTTGAAAAGCCTATGGAAAAAACTATTGAAAGCTGCAAATTTATGAGAATTAGGGTGACAAGAAGAGAAAGGAATTACAGAGTCAGTGTGTGTGGGTTTCCTATATATAGCGAAACTAAATTTGTCAACATTTTTAGTGATTAATAAATCTAGAAATGGTAGAGTGTTATTTTGTGCAATTTCCATTGTGAATTTAATGGCCGGATGTAATGAATTCAGAAAATCTAGGAGTAGATGAACTTCATTTGGATCACCATCATAAAGCACCAAACAATCATCTACATATCTGTACCAGAATTTAATTTTGGCAAAAAAAGAATTTTAAATATTCTTCAGGATTTAGAAGAAAATTTAAAATTGTTTCCTTTTTCTGCGACATGATTTCTGCATACCAGTGTACTTGTACCTGTTGAGGAATTGTGTCAATTGTGTGATAGAGAAAAGGGACATCAATTCGAATAATTCAATGAATAAGTTACTGAATGATTTCGAAATTCAATTGTTTCAGTAAATATTGAAACAGCTGCTTATTCAACATTATGTATACTTCTTATTACTATCATTTTATTTGTTGCTATTTGGTACCTACGTTTTATTTTGTGTTAGTTATTCAGTGTTGGAATTGTTTTTTTCTCTTCATGGTAAAATCAAAAGTTCAAGTGGAACTTTTTTATTTAAAAAATCTATATCACTATGAAAGTCCATGCTTCATTGATTTTGGAGCATCTTTGAAAATATTATATTCATAACATTATACATAATTCGGAAGGAAAGAAAACAAGGAATTTGATGAGCGGATGAAATACAGGGTGTTCTACTGAAAAATTCATAAGTTTGATGCGTACTTATCTTCAAAATCATATACTTACCCCGAAAAAAAAAAAAAATGAGTGCGCCACTAGTTTCTGAGTGACATTCTCTATGAGATAAAATTTCAATTAGTCATTATCGCATTTTTCATCACTGAGGAACTTCGTTGATATGGAGATGGTCGACATAGTGTGAAATGTACAGTGCTTTATACGTAACCAGTTAGGAAACGCGTCATTTTGTTTGACGACGGGATTATGCGAGACGAACGAACGTATTACGTGTAATTTTTTTTCTAATTTTGCTAGAAATTTTCGCTCGAACAGATAATATAATGACCATCATTTCTACATGAATTCTACCGATTATGTACAAAAATTGAGTATAGGCAAGTCGACTCCGCCCGTCACTTCGAAGTATCCGACTATCCGTCATAAAATAATATGGTCGCAAATTAGTGACCAAATTCACGAAAAAGACTCGTTCGATACTTCCATCAGTGAAAAATGGCTGATTCAAGTTCAGTTTTTCCAACTGATATTGAGAAAGCAGCTTGAAATACACTATTCTTTTCGTTCAACCACATATTCAATAACGTAACTGGTGCTGTAGTGAATATTATTTCATCACCAGTTAAACCAGTTATGTTATATTTCACTTTACACCACAGGTTATACGAAAAGTGAGAAGTTTCAATATTTCCGTAGTTTTGAGAAGTTCCACATCACATGTCAAATTGAATAAAAAAGAATTTCGAGCCAAACTCAATATTTCCAAGGGATATCCTGAAACAGGTTGATTTTCATTCTCAATTTCTACATTTATAATAGACAATTTCTCGAATGGAACATCCTATCAACTATTGAATTCTCGAAATCTTCATGGAAAGCTGAATTCAGGGTGTTCCATTGAAAAAAAAAACACAAAGCTATTAGCCTACCCGAAAAAACGAATGACACTGTGTATAAAACAACTACACAAAATAAAAGTTTGGGTGGTTTCAAACAACTTTTTCATTTAACATTCCTCAATATTCCTATAAAAACAACATAATGACCTCTTTATACTGAACTTTCCTTGAATAAAGTACCATTCCTATTTCACATTCCTAAGGGGAATTTGAGACTAAGAAAATTGTTTGAAATGATGACTTAATAAAAACAAATTATCATACACTGAAAAAAACGAATCCCAGGAATTTCCGGTTGAATGAATTCCTGTTGTCTGAACGAAACTATTGTTATAATAACAAAAAAAAACCGTTCTGAGAACAATCTGTACTTGCAATAAAACATGCCGATTCCGGTTGAAGTGACTTGGGTCGTATGAACAGGAAAACCGGTAAGTATAGCAGTTATAAGGTACTTTTAATTTATAAGGAATATTTCCTGTGTATATAAAATGATATTTACCTATATTTACGTGTCACGACTGTAAAACATACTTAGGTCGGAACCATAATTCTAACCGGAATAAAATTCCGTGAATGTTACAGGAATATCTAGTGAAATATAATGATTTTGTAAATATCACAGTATGGACACATCAAATTCAACAGGAATGAATGGTATTTCTTACAGAAATTCAGATGATTCTACAGGAATAAATATTGTTAGGCTAACAGTATTTCAATCCATATAATATATATTCCTGTCATCTCTACGATCCACGCCACCGTTCTAACAACTCAAAACGTTGATTCCAACAGAATTCCTGTGTATCCTCAATTTAATCCGCTACTCTGGGAAGAACGCGCCAACGCGGTCATTCGCGTTTGTTCTTGGATACGGATAATATGTGGAATACGCCATTTTTCTGTGCGAGTGCTGTGGTTGTGATTGTGAATTACTGCGTAACTTAAAAAAATAATTATGTCGACCTCAAGTGCCGCTAATTCTGACTATATATATAATATATATGATCCAGCCGCCATTGTCTTGAACTTAGATCAAAGCCAAGATGGGGAAGATAGAATATACTTATACATTGATTGGTGAACCGACTGATTCGATGGTAGTAGCCGCCAGCGACGATGATGTCGCCGGCTATTTAAGAGGATGGGATTTGGCCAATTATATCGAAACATTCGCAAGTAAGTTTCCCTACATTTAACCTACCCTATATATCTAATTCTGTTTAAGCAGAGATAGAAACATTTTCATAAATGAATCATTCAAACCTGTTTCTATTGCTTGTTATAGCAAACGATGTTACCCTGCACAGCCTTCCATTTCTCAAAGATGATGTGGTGAAAGAGCTTATTTCCTCTATAGGGCACAGAGCTCAGTTTCTGTCCCACTGGGCGAAATGGAAGGCGTCAATGCATAGTGCTCCTACATATTTACCATCACCGAACATGGAACCATCCAAAAGTATGGAAAACACTGATGAACGCACCTCGGAACTCATGCACCACGGCTCTTCTCATCAATAAGACACGAGAAATGTAGGTGGGTCCATGATAATTATTTTTAATTGAAAATAGTAATTTCCCTACAAGTATAAAAAGTGGCAAGCAGCCGAGTGCAAGAAAAAACTTTCCGTATGAGTTAGGAACATATTTTTTTCCACCATAAAAGAAAATAATAATCTTTTGAAATGGTACTTATATGTACAAGGTGCGCCTCTTAAAATGGAACCCATACTTAACTCATTTGTTTTCAGATATGTGAAAAAATTTTGAATAAAAAGTTGTTTGAAACGACTCAAACTCCTATTTTGTGTTGCTATTGTTCAATATACAGGGTCATTCGGTTTTCCGGAAAGGACATTAATTTTGATTTTTTCAATGGAACACCCTATATATCTTCCGAGATGTCGATAGAGCCTTCTCTTCTGATTTCAAAAATATATATGAGTCGCATATATGGATGGAAAATAGTTAAGCTGTTGATGATCGAACTAGTGCGGAAAAGAATTCCCAAACCAAAATGCGTGCGGAAAAGTAGGCAAAAACGCACAGTCGTAGAAGAACGCCACAAGCTCACACCAATAAAATTGGACTATTAACCATTTTTTTTGTATAGGCTCTCCTCAAATTATTGAACGAAACAAATGATGTTGAAGCATTGCTGGCCGAGGAAAAGACTAGGGGCTGTCTCTCCTCAAAGGGGCGATCCACTTTGTGCAAGTTTATTATAAGAAGAGAACTGCAAGGTAACCCTACGGAAAGAATATCGGGGACAGACTTCTGGCCACAAATACCTATCGTGGTTAAAATAGTGGATAATTATACGGTGTACGCCAGAAATCACTATTTTATATGTTTTTCTTTCATCACATTCATTCTAAACAAATTATTCAATGTTTTTTCAATAAACAAATTTCATCTTGAGACATCCTGAATATCATATTTTTATACCCAACCTATATCAGGAGTGAATACTCTGTTCAATTGTATTGTGGGTTATTCCTTTGTTTGTATTCATTTGCTGATTTGGGATTGTAAAAATATACTGTCTGTCTTGATATAATAACGAGCACCCCTAGACGTAATTAGTCACTAAGAATATTGTTAGTCCTTTCGTGCGCTCCAAGAGATAAAAAAAAAGAATAGCGAACCGTATAGTGCCCTTTTTCACAGCTGTAGGTATATATATGAATATATAAAGTTCGGTGTTATTTGGAGAATAAATTCAATTAGTGGCTGACTTTCCCTAGAACAAACTGTGAGACTGTTAGACTGTAAGTGTATTATGAAATTCGCTAATATGTATTCAGATCAGGGATTTTTTTTTATATTTATTATTTAGTCTCTCAACGAATGTATCTAGCTCGTTCGAATAATGTTGAGATATTCTATAATTTATATTATATGGAAAATTCCACACCAGTGATTTTCATACACTCAAATTGGGTTTTTTATTACAAATTACCATAGCAACGTATGTATTTTGGTGGACATTTTTTTCTCCAGCGTATATAAAATCGTAATTTTTTTTTCACGTTTCATTAATAACCATGATATATTTCTTGACAATACTGGTTTTCAATTGAAACGCAGAAAATCAATTTTCTACCACTTGAAGTTACTTAAAACGTAGGTGAAATTGAAAAATGAACTATGATCAGTCTTAAAATTATATTTCCATGCAACTTTAACAAGTCAGTATCGACAATTCATAGGCTTAAATCTGGTGTGAAATATTCATACCGAATACCACACGAGGTCAAATTACTTTCCGGGAATTTTTCTTGGTCATGAATATTTCCCAAAATAATTTGAACTCTAGTGGTATTACAAATGATGATCTTCCCCGATTTTAGACACATATTCGCGAAGTCACAGATAGAAATGCGATATAAAAATAACAAAATTGCATTCGTTATTCCAGATTTTTTTGGGATTTTCTCTCCTCGTTTCTATGAAATAGAAATATGAATATTATTCCAATATATGAATAGTAAGGACAAATCAGATGATTTGCCCCAAAATATCACTGCGTTTGAAGAATTTTCCTATCAGAGAGCCTAAAAGAAAAAAATCACTAGCTCGTCACTGACAATTTGTATTGAAAAAACGTTGGAGAAGAGCAATAAAGGTATGAAGAAAATATATCAAATTTTCACTTAGCTTTGGACGTTTTGGGAACGAATCTGCTTCCGTTTTCACCATCAAAAATTGATAATATTCGTCTAGCAAATTCGTATTTGTCTTGACACTTCTCAGTTCTCAGTGACAATTGGTGACGTTGGAAATCAAATGAGTTACAGGATGTTTTCATTAATCTTGAATTCAACACTTTCATTTTCAGATTTCAGTAGTGAATACCATGTTCTAACTATATCAACTGAACAGGAAGCAATGCTATTGTCTCCGTTCAGAAGAATGCAAGCGGATTCCTTGATTCTTCTCTTACGGTTATCTTCTTTTCTAATGATTTTGATATTATTCCACTCAGTTGATATAGATAGAACATGGTATTCACTTCTGAAATCTGAAAATGAAAATGGAAAATTCAAGATTAATTAATGAAAACATCCTGTAACTATCATTTGATTGCCAACGTCACCAATTGTCACTGAGAACTGAGAAGTGTCAAGACAAATACGAATTTTCTACACAAATATTATTCATTTTTTATGTTGAAAACGGCAGCAGATTCGTTCCCGAAACGTCCAAAGCTAAGTGAAAATTTGATTTATACCTCTATTTCTCTTCTCAAATTTTTTTTCTTTACAAATTGTCACTGACAAGCTAGTGAATTTTTCTTTTAGGCTCTCTGATAGGAAAATTCTTTAAACGCAGTGACCTTTTGGGGCAAATCATCTGATTTGTCATTACTACACGTATATTGGAATAATATTCATATTTTTATTTTATAGAAACGAGGAGAGGAAATCCTGAAAAAATCTGGAATAATGAATGTACCACCTCCTCGATTAACCTACAGACAGTACGAAATAGCACTTGAATACTGACAGGAAGTACCCTAAATTACAACAATACTCCACGGTAGTACTAACAGGAAACTTCCAGTAAAATTCCATGGAAAAAAATGTCGACTTCAGATGGAAATTACTGTCAAAACTATGCAGATAATTGAATAGGAAATACAAGAAATTCCAGTTGAATACTAGGTAACTACAGGAAATTCCTGTAAAATCTCAGGTGATAAACTTCAAATACAACTAACTAGTACTGTGATGTGTGAACAAAAGTCCTTTAATTCAACAGGAAATTCCTGTTGAATCGAAACCAAAGTTCCGGTATAAGCGAAGTAATTCCTGTTTAAGTTTAGTGTTGATTACTGGAAATTCTTGTAAAAATTGAAGTTTGAAGCTCCGAATACAACTATCTAGTTTGTTTATCAAACAGGAAATTCCTGTTAAATCGAAATTACAGCTTTGGTGAAACTGAGGTACCTCTTCAAAATAACTGGAAAGTTCCAGTTGAATCAATGTAGCGATTCTGTAAATAACAAAGACAATTCCGGTTCTCGTTACATTATTATTTTCCTGTTGAAATAACAAACTGCAGTTTGGTTGCACTAACGGATCTAAAACTTGTTATTTCTAAAGGAATTGATAGACCGGAATTGTCACGTACAATTAACAAATATTCCTGCTGTCGCTTATATAGGGGGAATTTCCTGTAGAAATAGCCGAATTCCTGTTGTATATCCTGGTAAATTTCTTTGAGTGTAGGGATTTCCTTTCGTGCGCTTCAAGCGTTGAAAAATATGTTCCATCAATAACTAATCCAAGTGCTTCGTAAATTTTTCATTTCATAAGGATGCTCGCCAAAAATTCGACGGATGACGTCACAATGTGTACATGATGATTGCAGACAAAAAGGTTCCTGCATGATCCGCCATTTTGAAAACAAATGTCATTTGAAAGGTATTTTTTCGCTCTATCGACTTACGTAAAATTATTCATACAGAGTGCCATCTGAATTTCAGTAAAATTTTGGGGCAAATCCTCTGTAGGTACTTGTACAGTGTGCAACATATGGAAATTTTTTTGATGAATTGCACAATCAAAATACAGATAGTGTCAAAGGTTGGTGCATGTTCGGTAATCATTTAAGGTGCACTTAGAATCGTTGCAAGTCAAACAGCATACAGGGTAGGTCAAAAAAATAAAAAATGCTCAGGAGTAAAGTATCCTTATTTCAGAAAATTCAGCAAACTGTTATGGAAAAAAGTTCTTTACAATTGAAAGTTTTTCCTGAATACCAAAACATGGCCTCCTAAGACATATTTTAGTGTTTCGATTTGTTCCATTAATAACTTCCCAATTTGTATTTTTTTTTATATTCACCCTAAACACTTTCATAATTTGATCATAAAAAAATCAGTTGATCATACTTTTGTTGAAATTAATGCACTTTTGTGCAATCAACTTGGATTTTATTTTTTTAGGGAATCACAAACTTGATGTTTGTTGCAACGATATACAGCTTGATTTTGAGATTTCGCAAACCATATTTTCAACAAGGTAAAACATCATTAGATAAGGAGTATGTCACCAAACTGCCTCAATATTTACTGTCAACCCTCATTAATTTGTTCTGTTCCTTGGGTGTCCGTGATTTTTCGAAAGATATCATGGTTGTCGATCAATTTGTTCAGGTTTTTCATAAACATTTCAAATACAAAATGTTCACATTAAATGAAGGTTTTTGAATATGCATATTATCATTAATGATGTTTTACCTTGTTGAAAATAGGGTTCGCAAAATTTCAAAGTTGAGCTGAATATCGTACATGAAGTTTGTGATTTCCTAAAAAATTTGAAATCCAAGTTGAATGCAAAAATATGCTTGAATTTGAAAAAAAAATGGGAATTTATTAACGAAAGGAATTGAAGAACTGAAGAATGTCTTAGGAAGCCATGTTCTGGTATTTAGGTATAAATTTTAATTGTGAACAACTTTTCTCAATAACATTCTGCTGAATTTTTTGAAATACGGGTACTTTACTCCTGAGCACTTTTTATATCTTTTCACCTACCCTGTATGCTGTTTGACTTGCAACTATTCTGAGTGCACCTGAAATGATGATCGAACATGCATCAACTCTTGGCACTATCTGTATTTTGTTGTGCAATTCATTAAGAAGATTCCCATATGTTGCAAACTTAAATGACCACACTGTATATTGAAATTATGCTCATATTATTATTTTGTAGAAGCGAGGAGGGAAAATCCCAAATAATCAAGGAAAATGTATGTAACACCTCCTCGATCAACCAACAGGCGTTATTTCGAGCCGCCATTGCTTGAGATTTGACATTTCATGGAAGATGAATGAAGTCACGAGTGAAGTCATTATGATATCCGAAACGCAAATAAATTTGATCACATACAAAGTACCTCATTGATCACATACAAAGTACCCCATTGACGAACGGAACATTTTGGTATATAAACGAATTGGGTCCAATCAACTTATTTTGACCTCTACTTCAAGTAAAGCAATTTCGGGACACCCTATATATAATCTATAACTGAAGTCATGTGAGGGATTTAAGCACAATTGACAATAAGAAATCACTAGATTCGAAAACTCTTGGGGAGTAGGTTTCCCGAAACGAAATAGCGATATACAAATGCTACAAGTTCTTTATTTATATTATCTACTATTTAATTGGAGAATCAAATTGAAAGGTATACACTCTGATCCGAATCTCAGACCATGACTATAGAAAAGTTTGAAAGTTTGATGTTTTTCTCCAATATTTATATGTTCAGAAATGGACATACAATGATTCCATTTCTGCCTTATAGAATCTCCGAGAATAGATTCACCTATTATACATAGAAAACACATGTCTGATGTTTTGTTATATAATTTTTCAACAAAAAGAATGATATATACTTCTTTATCTT